ATGCGGGCGAATGATGCTTTTATTTCTTCGCTTTTCAAATGTTGCGTATAAGCATAATGTAAATGGCATTTTACACCATGGATTACTAATACTGCAGATTGTATGTTGTTGATATGTCAATAGATCTTTCCTTGGAGGCGTGAGAAGGTACGTTGTTCGGTTGGGAAGATAGGAAGCCAGTCCTTTGGAACACAGCGCATCAAAAAAGAGATCTTTTACACATGGTGTCAATAGTCATATTCTGGCAGGGGAATCCAAGAGGGATGGGATTACTACTAATTGGAGTGAAATGGCTGCTAACAGGGAGGGAGGGAGAGGGCTTTGGTGGGTACAATGTCCACCAAGCTTTCTCTTCCACTCAATATGGCTTCGTTTGATGTCTTCTCAACTAGGGTGTTATGAATTCATAGCCGTTATGATTTCTCAAAAAGTCATGTTTGCAAGTATATTTTTAAGGTCATACCTCTATGATGGAAGTGAGATCATGGTATTCTGTTGTGCTTTCTTGCTAATGTGCTTGGTATAGTCATATATATTCAAATTGTGAAGTATATTCACTTGAGTCTAGTTAGTGAGATATTTTGTTATTTTTCTTTCTTTCAGAACTGTCTTCCCATTGCACCCAAGACCTATTGCCAGGGCAGGGCATAAAAGATTCGTCTCAGAAATCAATAATGAGACTATATGGAACCTGTAGCCCTGAAAATGTACACTTAAGAAAAGCCAGGGAGTGTGTGGGTGAGTGTAAGAGGCAGAAAGTATGTTACGATGGTCTTACCCAGTGTTTGTCAAATACCCATAGGAAAAAGGTCAAATGTTATAAATGTATAAAAGTCTTTACCAAATCTTCAAATCTCAATATACATAAGATAGAACATACTGGTGAGAAAAGATTCAAATGTAATGAATTTGGCAAGATGATAAACCACAGCTCAGAACCTTCTGGACATAGGAAAATTCATACCGGAGAGAAACCTTACAAGTGTGAAGAATGTGGAAAAGACTTTAAGCGTTCCTCCAAACTTACTATACATAAGAGAATTCACACTGGAGAGAAACCCTACCAATGTGAAGAATGTGGGAAGGCCTTTACCCAGCTTGATGTAGTCACTCGACATAAAAAAATTCATAGAGGAGAGAAACCATACAAATGTGAGGAATGTGGCAAAGCCTTTATCAGGCTAAGTGACCTCACTGGACATAAAAGAATTCATACAGGAGAGAAACCATACAGATGTGAGGAATGTGGGAAAGCCTTTACCTGGCTCAACAACCTCACTCAACATAAAATAATTCACACTGGAGAGAAACCATACAAATGTGAGGAATGTGGCAAAGCCTTTATCTGGCTAAGTAACCTCACTGTGCATAAAAGAATTCATACTGGAGAGAAACCATATAAATGTGAAGAATGTGGCAAAGCCTTTACCCGGTGGTCAAGCCTTACTCAACATAAAATAATTCATACTGGAGAGAAACCATACAAATGTGAGGAATGTGGCAAAGCCTTTATCTGGCTTAAAGACCTCACTGGACATAAAAGAATTCACACTGGAGAGAAACCATACAAATGTGAGGAATGTGGGAAAGCCTTTACCTGGTGCACACAGCTTAATCAACATAAAATAATTCATAGCGGAGAGAAACCTTACAAATGTGAAGAATGTGGCAAAGCCTTTACCAGGTGCGCATACCTTACTCAACATAAAAGAATTCATACAGGAGAGAAACCCTACAAATGTGAGGAATGTGGCAAAGCCTTTACCTGGTGCACACACCTTACTCTACATAAAAGAATTCACACAGGAGAGAAACCCTACAAATGTGAGGAATGTGGCAAAGCCTTTAGCAAGTGCTGGACCCTTACTCTACATAAAAGAATTCATACAGGAGAGAAACCCTACAAATGTGAGGAATGTGACAAAGCCTTTAACCAGTCCTCAACCCTTACTCAACATAAAAGAATTCATACTAGAGGGAAACCCTAAACATGTGTAGAATGTGGCAAAGCCTTTATTCGCCTCAGAGACCTCACTCTACATAAATGAATCCATACAGGAGAGAAACCATACAAATGTGAGGAATGTGGCAAAGCATTTTCCCAGTGCTCACCCCTTAATCTACATAAAAGAATTCATATCAGAGAAAAATTCTACGAATATGAAAATTGTGGCAAAGTCTTTAATAACTGCTCACATCTTATTCCACATCAAAGAAATCATACTAGATAAAAACGAGATAAATATAATGAGTATGTAAGTGTATTTTTTTTTTTTTTTTTTTACCAATGCATCCAGCACTCCGAAACTGGTTATTGGAGTTCCCAGGTACAGGTTGTTATCTCTCCTTTTCCATCAGTTCACAAAGAGTGAACTTTCATGCTATTTGCTGCTTGGTGCTGAAGATTTCCCAATGAGCTCCTTATATCTTAGGATTCTCAATATGCTGTTTATAGTACCTCCCATACCTACTGCCTCATGTACACTTAATCCCTCTACAACGTTGCGCAGCTGTTTTCACACCTACAGATTCTAATTCTCAGAAATGAAAATTTCATTTCTTTTATCTGGTACACATTGCATTGCATTCAGACTACCGGTCCCTTATCACAAGAATACTAACATTGACTCTCTTTTAGCTTTGGTTCAAGATGCTCAGTCGAGCCACCCTTCATCATACTATGTAAAGCCTTCAACAAGATTTTCTCTTTCTAGAAAACAGGCACGTGCTATTTCTGCTCATGTTCACCTGCGCCCCTTTCACTTTCCTCTTTCCCTCTGGGTGCAGCCCATGAGGGTTGTGTAGTAATCTCTTTGGCAGATGGATGTTCCCATGTCACTTCGTTTAAAAAACTTTGTATGTTCATTATACTATTGACACTATTCTCACTTTCGGGGGTACAGCTCATAGTTCTGAAAAGCAATGCACTTATTACTATCCTTATTCCTGTTTTGCTGTCATGGGACTTCTGGTGACATTAAAACACAGATAATGGCTCAGGTTGTTACCTCTCGGAAAACTTGCTAAATTTTTAACGCTATATTCCATTAACATATTACAGGATTCCTTTCAACAGCCAAGGCAAGCCATCATTGAGCGTGCTAATCACCCCCTCAATTCAAATACAAAAACAAAAGGGAGAGTCAAGGATCTCCTCAGCTGACATTTCCTCCGTGCCTTTATATACTTAATTTTTTAAATTTTTGCAGACTTGCATGCCTTTGGAGCAGGTGTCATTTATTATTCTTCCCCTCCTTTGCAAAAGCTTGTGGATCCTGTGTATGGTTGCTGCCCTACTGGGGATGATTGAGGGAGAAGTTCACAATGGGGTCAGGATATGCTTATGTCTCCACAGAGACAGGTGTGGGTGGTTCCTGTATATCCAGCTTGAAGGCTATTCCCAATCAAGATAGTCGCACAAGATGAGAACGCGAACATGTGAAAGCAAAGAAGAAAAAGCAGGTGGTAACACTGGCAGTGTGGCTGCCCTTTAGCCTACCTGCCTTTCTACCAATTTTATGCTCCTTTCTGGTTGATCAGGTTATTTCTGCTGATGTTTCACATGCATATTGGGGTTATGGTCCCATCATTTCCCCTTTTTAAAGCAGTAGCTTGGTGGGAGGTCTGAGTCATCATTTATACTAATGATTTCAAATGGATGCTCTCCTTATCAATAATCAATCATGGCATCCAGAGGATGAAGGAGACTGGTTAATTACTCTACTTATGCTCAAGGGTATCCATTTGTTCTGGGGCAGAGAGCTTGCCTGGTACCCTCTCCTCAAGCTTGGGGTCTGCAATATAACACTCTACTTTCACAGCCAGCACTATTATTATACTATTATGAAGGGGTTTAAAGGATTGCTTCTAACGCAGCTGAAAGACCTCCATCTCTGCCCCTTTGTTTTATTGCCTCACATTGAACTCCTGTAACTCTTTTGATTGGACGTATGTAGAGGTAAAGTTCTAAAGAAGTAACAATAATCTGAGATGTTGACTGGAACCCCTATGGTGATTCAGAAAAAGTTTTCTGGTCACTTCTTACGCTGGCATGTTATGAAGACACTATCAAGGCCCTTGCTAACAAGACAGTTATCGGCATGATAAAGGCCTTTCCCTCCACAACCTCATTACTCCAGGGGTCAGAAAAAAAAAGGGCACATCCAGAAACTCCTGGCTACAAGAAAACCTTAAATTTGGGTGGTAAATAGTGTCTCAGACTGAGGAGCATAAAGTACACCTCACCATCGCCATCCTAAACTTAACTGGCATTCGTCACTTATCGTTATCTTTTACTCATTGGACTGTTTATGGATCAGTCTACAGGAAGCTGACTTGCCCTTGTAATTGTGCCTATTTACTTGTGTAAACTTCACTTCATGGGTACTTTTAACAAATCCTTACATAGTCTGTATATTCTCAAGGCTTACAGAGATATGGTTGCCTGTCAACCTATCTCGACCTTGGGGCGATTCAGCCCTGGTCACCACTCTTTAAATAATAATTCTCTGGCTTATTAGAACAAAGAGTCATTGGTCTGATAATCATGCCAGTAGTTGGTTAATGGCTGTGCTCCTGCCGTGCTGTGGGGTGATTACACTTTCTGTGCAAATACTGATTTTTTCGTAAGTGGCATGATATTTTACATAATTATGGCAACAAAGCAAGAAATTGATACTCACTTGGCAGGTGAATTATTCAGTTTCAGAATACAGTTCAGTGGCTGGGAGACCAGATTAGGTTTTGACAACTCAATATTTTCTCCGTTGTGATTTGTGTCCTCCTATTCCTTCAATAGTAGTCGACATTTGATATCATTACAAAATTGTTAAACGGGAGGCAAAACTTCCTAGAGACCTCCAAAAAAATTAGAACAGAAATCACCTCTGCTTTTCAAGCAATCTGCCAGATTTAATAATGATGAGTTCTTTCTGGCCTGGCCAGTGGATTGTCAGGCCTACTTTTCATTTATAAAACAATGCTTAGTAGTATTGGGAATAATTTGCGTGTTCTCCTCCTTGTTTATGTTTTTGCTTTAATCTAACAGGTGCCTGGAAAAAAGGCAAGCAACTGCAAAACAAGAACAAAAATGTCACTGGCTTGTCCAGTGTGTTCACTTCAAATAATAACTATAGAAGGAATATAGGACTTGATTTATACCTAGATTAAGATTAAATACTGAGTAATGTATGTGCTCTACTCAGGGTGTTTGAAAGTATATGTTCTGGACAGGACTCTGGTGATAACCAAGTGTTGTTGCTAGAAGCATAAAAAGGACTGATGCTGCAAGTAAGAAAGCTCCAGCCCACGCAGTGGGGTCTGGAGGTCACATGATAACACATTGTAACGTGAATATGTGTTTAGTCCTAGGATGGCTGCTTAGTCATGACAGGTAAGAACCCTCAAGGGAAGGTGACCCTAAGCCGACGCACAGCCGCAGGAATCAGTCTAAAGAAACTGGGGATGCAAAGCTCCCTGTTGTTGCTTGCCATCCTTACTAATTTGATGATGATCATGCCTGTTGCCTAGGCAACCACTGGAACCTTGGAGTCAGGGGCACATTGTGTTCCTCAAGGCTTACAATGTTCCAGAATTTATGGCCATTGCTGCAAGCCGCTGGGTGGTTATGTATAAGGGAACTACTTCAATTTTAGAGTGTAATAAATACAACCAGAGATTAACTCCAAGTCAACCCGTCTTTGTATGTGTGTCTGTTTTCTCTGTGTTCTGTGTTCAATCTCCATCCTGTAAATGGGCCACAGCACAGGGTCTTTAAGGAAAGTGTATGATTTGGGGGGATGCCTTTTTAAAGGATACATATTCTGCTGGTACGAAGAAAATTCAAAGATACACTGTATAGAGTAGCCGTACTTACTTACGTTCTGATGTTTTTAAATATGGCTGGAGAGTCAGATGATAAATGTTTTTCACCACAAACATGATAAATATGGGAAGTACAAGCATGCAATTTACTAGAATAAGCATTAGACATTTGTGTTTGTTGTGTCTTGCGCTATTCACATCACTTTTTACGATACAAATACAATAATGTTATCAGTCATACAAGAACAAATCAGTTAACTTTGAAGTATGATTGCTTTCCCAAACTGGGCCTGATCATTGTCATGAGCTTAGCGTAACTGTATCAAAATATATCATTTTAGTGCTGTTTCAATCATCATTTCTCAGTCATAAGCAAGGAATCTATATTGCAAAATTCAGATCAGCACAGAAACATGAAAGGGCTGACGCATTTTAGTTTGAATCTAAGTACCTTTAAACTTCCTCCGTGCTGTTATTAGTGAGCACTAGAGTATGTGTGGCTGATTTGTCCCACCTGCCACTGTGAGAACAGGAATACAAAATTGGATTGCATCCATCACTGTGAATTCAATCAAAACAGCTGCCATGATCCCTGGGATCCAAGAGTCACATGACCAAGTGTGGCGCACAGTTCATGACTAAAATGAAACTGTGTACGCACACTGCACCCCTTAATAAGTGAGAGACTGTAATAATATTCCTAAGATTGAAATATCAGATTAAGATTATCCAATATTTTCAATCCACAGAATATGTCTGATTATAATTCTAACAATGAAATACATCTCATAAGTAGATTCTAGCATGGTGCATATGTTGTCCTATAATAATTACACAAAAATATGATTTCAACTTTTTATTTACTAAATTTGCTATTAAGAGATTCCAAAACATTTTCGTATATAGGTACTTAAGATAGGTCATCACCACTTATAATGCTCCTTATTATATTTTTCAATTTATGACATCATATGTTAGGATTAATTCCCCAAACAAAAGTTTTTTTTTTTTGTCAAAAGCAAACAATGTGCTGATTCTTGATTTACCCTCTGAACTTCATGCACTATGGAAGTGTGCTGTATGTTTGTTGATAAAGTCGTTCCTCTCCTCCTCTCAGGTGTTTTTAGATAGTGTGTGTGTGTAGATTATAGTTTAACAGCATCTAAAATGTTCTTTTTGACTTAAGCCTACTAATCTTATGAAGCTGAACTCTCTAATCTATGTAAAATCACGGCTGATATCTCTTAATGGTCAAGCTGGATGGCACCCTATTGACCTTTAAATGTTTTTCATCCACTCATGGTAAATGTAATTTATGCTGGGTTAATAAGACAAATTCAGTGCTACATTTCTCATCAGAAACTTTTAAACAGTACTTGTGTGAACTGGCCAGGAGTGGAACATCCAGTGAGATACTGCAGCACAAGCA